TCTTCTCAATTTTCTCCTTGAAGTGAACGAAATTGAAATGTATGATTCTATTTAAACTCGAAGCTGAGATCGAGTCTGTCGAGTGAAAATAAACGTTCGAATTCTTACGAGTCTTGCTTTCAGCTTGCAGCTGGCAGATGTCCCGCAAAGTATCGAGACTTCTTATTATACCGTCGTACTGTAGTCTCGTTAGATGTTTACAACGCACCAACATGGACACCAGCAAGTCGTCGAGCATCTCGCGATTATTTCTCAGTTGTAGCATTACTTCGGCTGTAACGTGCACACAATTGTTTTTTTTTTAAATTTCATCGCAATTCTATATGTCGTGATTTTGTTTGTTTTTTAATTCCTGCAGATCATGATTATTTTTCTATTGTCGTCTGAAGTCTCGAAAGAATTTATCTGATTAATAAATTCTGAAATTATTGAACAGAAACTAGTCGTTCGTTTCAACCAAGCACAATTGGGAGGAGACAATAGCCAAAGCGCGAGATTCAGCGAGCTTCATTGCGACAGTTATCGCGTTAAGAAATAGAACACGCGAGATCCGCGGACGAGGAAGCGAGTTTCGTGGACAGTGTGCAAGGCTGTGTAATAGTAGGATTTGAAAGAATTTATTATACCGAGCGTGTTGGTGTAATGGGTAATGAGCAGTCCGACGGTGCTTCTGAAATTGCGAGATCTACTCTGATCCCACACATGGCCGCTGAACATTTGAAATCTAGCCAATGGCACACTGGGCAGCAGGAAGTAGCACATGTCTTCGTAATGCGATATGTTAACTGAAAATCAAACTTAACAAGCTAAATGGCGCATAGAATCATCCATTGTCGACATGTCAAGCGATTCTTCCAACGTGTGACTTGTTGCGCGTCAGAGCGCAACATCAGATTTCAGAGCTAACGTTTAGTAAAACTATCTCATCTACTGCATAAATTTTCATTCTTCGAAATCGTCTATCAGAGTTTATCGACTTGATTTTAATATCTTGATTAATCATTGATTAATCATTGAAAGAACCAACTCCAAGGATTTTCTCGACAATCTTATCGCGAGATTAAAAGAATCGCTTAATGCGATGTGATTTAATAAAACGCCAATAACCAGATAGAGTGGCGCAAAAGTAATCGTTTATTTTTAAGCCAAATTTCTCGCGTCTCGGTTCTAAACTGCTCGAGGTACAATGGAAGCCTTCGCTTCACAATCGCGAAACCGTGGTAATAACCGCCAAGTATCGGCCTGATATCGCTTCAACGAAGGATATTAGTTTTACGTCACTCTGTATATCATATTGTACCTATAGTGTAGGACACCGTGAGCTCGGGGCAGACGAGCACCAAATTGTGCCAGGCGATATCGGTGATCGTGTGATGCCTGGAATCCGAATCTCTCACGGATATGTGCAATGTTTTCAACACTCTCGGCGCTGCGTTGGTCAACGCGTTTAGAGTCTGATCGGACAGAGCTGGGTAATCGAGCCTGAGTATCGTCAACGCGCGAAATCGGCCTAACAAACGCAGATATCTGAAAGTTGAAGGGATCATGGCAGAAATTGCAATTGTCGGAGCGATTGTCTCCTTTGATCTCTTTAAAAAAAGTAGGATCTTATTGAAAGATCTGTAGAATATATTCCGTCATTGAATTTTAATACTAGAACAGTAAAACTGACCAATTGGCACTCCAATTTCTTTCGTTTTTTCTTCGGAAACAGGCGTTACTATCAAGTTCTCTTTTTACTTGTGTGATACAACGAATCAGAATTAGCAAAACAGAATGTCTCCCGATAACTTTTTATCTTACGTTCTTTTTCACGCAGCTGGGTTGTTATCATCGAGTCGGTATTATTCAAAGGAAATCTCATTTCAAAGAGATTAAAATTTCATCGCGAGTGATGTCAATATTTTTCGCCACTAGTCTTGATGGTTTCATTGTTTTTAGATTACTACTCGAGATTACTTATGATAAACCTTGTACGAGATTGAACTTTCATAAATGGACGAATGAATGGAGCTGTTTACTCATGCCTTGGATTGCTGTGGGGCGCCTGCCATTCCCGAAATGCACCCCGAAGATCTAAATAAGCCAGATGCTCGGTCGAGCCTTTGGAAGCACTCGCGAGAAGTCGCAACACGTCGCTCACTCCGAGGGTCGCATTCAGCAAACTTAGCGTTTCCAAATTATGCTGACAGCTGCATAAACAAGATATTGATTAGATTACTCGGAATCAATTACTTTAGCAACGGAGATAACGTGACATGATAGCGATACGAACCTTTTCCACGTGGAAAAGGTATTTTTAAAATTTTCACAGATTAACTCGTTGAACGCGAAGAGTTTCTTACATTTTTGATACGAATTGTTAGAGTCGAAATTCATTGTCTTATACAATTCTGCTTTCCGAGTGAGGATCGAACTTCGAACAACTTTCTAATTAAATTCTCAGATGCGAGGAAGATGATTTACCCTAAAAAGCTCGCGAGGGCGTACAACAGTTTGCCTCTGTTTCCCCATTTACAGATGAAGATCCAGTCGGTGAGTATGAGCTTCTTCAATTGAACGTTCTTGGCTCGTACGATCGTGAGAAACTCGGCGCCTGCCTCAGCTTGAATATTACGAGTTATGCGAGCTTCTCTTGGCAAGAGGTACGGTCGTGACCAGGCAAGTTCCAGGCATCGTATGTGCTGCCAATATTTTGCCTAAACAAAACACAATTACGTCAACTATACAAGTATATTTCTTGTAGAATATATAGACAAACAACTGATCTTCTTCGTGAATCATATATATTTTCATTTACAATAGAATTCTACTGACTATAAAACCAGAAAGATTACAGCAACCAAGCAGTTTTCTACGCAGTTTTAAAAACAACTGTTGGACGTAGTATCTCGCTAACGTGATACTGACGATTACCCTTTAAAGATCCAAAGTTTCAATTTCACTTTTAATATTATACGGCAGGTAGGTTTCGTAAACGAATCTGTATACGACTGTACATAGGAAAAGACGTCGGACGTTTAATCTTTTTCTAAATATGTGCGTACGGTTAGTTCTCCCGCCAAAGGGAAGTCACCACGCAGATCACGATCGATGAAGACTGTGACGGAACGCCAAAGAACTGGCGACGAAAGTGCACGGTTCCACAGTCGACAGACTTGTGCGACATTGGCACGATCTCCATGACCGAGGTGACTAAATATCTGCGTCAGTATCAGCTCCGGTAGCTGATCCCACATCTCCCAGTATCAGCTTGGCCCGTCTTCATCTCTACGTGGCTGAGGCGGCTGTCGCAACCTCGTCAAGTTCTCTTGTCCTGCTCCGCGATATCGACTCGATCGTCATTGAAAATCGTACGATCAATTCAGTCGAATTCACGAGATGCTAAGCGCTTGAAATTGTATTCAAATTGAAGTCGCCGGCATTGAGAACGTCCCTGAAAATTGCACGATCGACTGAATGTGGAATTCGCGAAGTATCAAAGCCTTGGATTCACGTTCATATCTCAAATTTAATTCGTCCGTACAAAAGGATTTGTAAAAAGAGAAAAGAATTACAGAAGGAACATAATAATATTATATTGTATTGTTATTTAACAACAGTAATATTAATAATCGTACGTGATCACATGGAAAAGGTCCTTAGTGCAGAGTGTAACAAGAGGTATGACCTGTTTCAATTGGGCTTCGCATTCTATAGATGAAATTGATAAATGTACGTGAGCTTCATCGCAATGATATCACGTTTCTTTCGTGAGCTATTGAAAGCGACCGCGAAACGAGAACATTAAAGAAGCATAAATCTCTTTTTCTTGTTAACAATTTCTTCTTCGAAATCTTTAAAAAAAAAAATGTGAAATTTTGGAAAATCATGTAATCATCGACATTAATAGCTTGTCATTGCATTACCTTGCCTTTTAAAAATTACCAGAGCTCTGTCGGAGAGCAAAGCATAACAACATCGTGCAGTAAACTTGAGGATCGTCTAAAGTCAAAATCGTTATTGCGTTAATATTTTATTCGACGGCGTAATAAGTTTTTTTTCCCGCTTATTGGTTCAACGTTGCGGCAAATTTAGTAGCGACGAGCGCCGCGAGATGGCGCCTCGCTGATTTAGAAATGCATCACGGTATTTATACAGTCAGTATAGCATACTCCACTCGGTACACGTGTACCGGGAGGATACGTGAGGATTGAACGTACGACACAATTCGCTACTACGTCAGTGTCAAGGTCTAAACTGACCACGGATCGTAGTCACCGTCGTCATTGAAAAACAATATTGCTCATTCCTTGGGAATGAAATAAGTCCGCCATATGATTACATAAACGTTCAATATTGGTCTTTGACGATCCTGGTTCTAACCTGTTTTAGCACCTAAAGACAGAAACTTTGCTTGTGACGTTACGAGCCGTGTATCGTTCTGACTGAAGAAAACGACAACATCGCATAATATCCACGCACGATACTGCATGCGTGTCAGTAAAAAAACGCCCGTTGACGCTGTTAAAACATGATAATGAAGGAAGAAGCGAACAACGAGAAGCCGAATGAGCAACAGTGGGTACTCGAAGCGCAAGCCATCATCGACGACGTGAAGCAGCATGTAACCGACATCAAGGTGTCGAACAAACTACGGAACAGCAACCAATCCTTCCATTTGAACTTGACCACGCTAGAGGGCTCGAGATTTTGCATAGAAGTGTCGAGTGCTGGTTTTACCATCGTTGGTAACGAACACGACGACGCGACGTCGAAGAGAGAGAATGAGCGTTTCGAGACGCCGTACAGCTTGTTGAACTTCGTTAGCCTGCAGTATAAAGACTCGTTTGGAAGTTCGCTTGTTCACAGGCTTGAGCAATTAAACGACTCGAGCAAATTTAATTAGGATTTTATTTCCAGCGAGTTTATTTCCGACCGTCTTGCTCTGCTTCGTTGACATTGAATGAAGTTTTCATGAAATGACATGATAGTTAAGTTAGATGGTAGCCGTTGTTTAAATGTATATACACGTATCTTTTAACATTAAGTCTTTAAAATCCAAAATAAATTATGATTCTCGTCAGATACGTTTCCTCTTTGCGCAGCACTCATTCAGCCCGAGTCTAGCCGAAGATATCCGAGTGCGTGGTAATTTGCAAAGGCAGTGTCGTACCCGAGAATGTGTCAAGACAAGTTTCAAAGTATCCTCCGTGTTTTGACTCGAAACGTCGTATATGTACTGCCAAGAAAATCTCCTTCACTTGTAACAACGTACGACGCATATTTTCATTTCTTGTTGTCGTTGTAGTTAATATGTAACTTCGTCGTAGTACAAATTGCATACGTAGTCTAACACGACGTTCAAATCAATTAAAGCTGAACGAGAAGCATACATGCACTAGTGAAATTTATTTGATCATACCGTCAATAAATAATTAAAAAAAAAAGTTTCTTAGTGTAGATTACTCGCTAAACAAAACGTCGAACAGAACTTGTGACAACATACGACACATAGTATTTTCATTTCCAACTGTCGATGCGTAATTCGTTTTTGTTGTGCAAAGCACGACGTTTAATCAAAGCTGAACGAGAAGCATACACGCACGTCCGAGACGTATTGAACGTACGATAAAATAATATATTATCAGAAACTTATTTGATGAACGATAAAAAAAAAAGAAAGAAAATATCAGATTTGTACGAACGCGCGGTGATACGGACTGAGATAGATACGGCAGTGCGATATCGACGAATCGCGCGTCCCTAGGAAATATCCCTAGGAATCGAAAGAGATCAGTCGGTGCAAGTGATAATATCGGTTGCGTTCATCCCCTCCTCTACGTCGCTACGTTGCTCTGTGTTCCGTTTGGCGTATTCCACTGTCGGGTCGTGAAGCAACGAAGCGGTCTTCGCCGAGCGTGTCGTATCGTGTGCGCGTTTCGCGATGATTCTGAATGAGTTCACCGTCGACTAAGTGCCTGAGGACGAAAGTGTGTGCCACGTTCGTTAATACCGGAACGGATGATGCTACGATACCGAACGGTGAACTATGACACGCCCGTGAAAAAACGATAACAACACTCCTATCCTCCGATTGACCAGAGAGACAAAACGACAGATAGATAGAGAGAAAGAGAGAATAACGCAATACGGCGGAAAGCTCCTGCTTTGTATATTCTTCGTGTGACACTCGCCTCGAGTGAAATCATGCTTCAGCCAAGAGCTACGTGAAGTACGCGAAACAGTGACGAAGGTAAGCCACGAATTATTTCGGATAGGTTGAACGTCAGAGAGCCGCGGAGACTTGACAGGTCTGTTTGTTTTCGTCTGTGCCTCGTTTCTCGATATCAGCGTGAAAGGGGTGGGACGATTACTTCCTATATCTCTGTTCAACCTATATAACCGCGAATAGTGCCGTGTATGTGTGGGAAATGAGTCGCGATAGTAACGTAATATCGCAGGTTGCTTAAATATTCTTGATCTCTCCTCCGATGTGCGCGTACTTTGAATTTTCTCTCGTTCATTTTCTTTCCTTCTTTCTTTCTTTTTTATGAAATAAGTCTCTCAATGAATCTTCGACCTTTCTCTCAATCAGATAGCTTACCGTGTTGTAGACTGAGAATATTTATCGAAACGCTTATGCGTTTCACGTATCTGACAATCGTACGAAGCGATATTGTTATTTTCGTCAGGAATCCTTAGTTTATATAAGAACCGTAGTATATCGGAATTTTTGTTGAAAAGCTTTTTAAAAAGTTAACGTGTTATTTGTGACACGTTGAAGTACTCGCGCAGCGTGTACATTTACATTTTGATACAGTATCACACCGCGATGAAATATACATTTTTTCATTGAATCAAAGTAAAATCGGAGATTTGACTTCAACAATCGTAGTATATTTAATTTATAAAAAAAAAGAATATGATATTAAATATCATATATTTACCTGTTTTATTGTGTCATTTCGCGCATCGATTATTAGTATGTGTTGTAAGTAATTTTTTATTTTCGAAGAACAAAATAAGTATTTGCGTCAATTTGAATATAACTGATATTCGAAAGATGAATAAAATATCAGCTTTTTTATCGTTTTTTGTGACACATGTTTTTCCGCGTAATACGTCCGTCACACTGCTACGAGGGCAATGCCGATGTTCTAATTATGATAATCAGAATGAATCATCAGTTAAAGGATTGAGTTAAAGGTGATAGAATGTGAATGAAATAACTAAGTACTTGTACGTAATTCTTTTCTTAATGCCACAACGAATTTCGTTAATGGGCAATTTGTTATTTCGTTCCAAACAAATTTTCTAGTAACTTCAACATTCAATACGTAGTCGTACGATTTAGTGTTATTTACTGTCACGAAAGTAGGTCAACAAATTTGTTGTAAATATTAAATTGATTTGAATGACATTTAGTAATGATAAGAACAAGTTCATCAACAACAAATATGAACTGTACCAATGTTTTAACTAAACTTCCTATGTACTATTTTTGGACAACACATATAATCTATTATGCATACAGGATTTAGATTAGATAATATCACTCTTAGAGAAAATTGTAGCTCAAAATAGGTATATAGGGGTCAAGTAAAACAGAGCTATTCTGTTCATTTCATTTCTTTTTATTTTTTTTTTTTTTTTACAGATACTGTATAATTTTCACATTGCATTGATTTATCATTTTATTTTATCATATTTTATTTATTTTATGAAAGAAATCTTGTGATTAATGTTATTGATAATATTTGATAAATATAATTTTCATTTGACAGTCAATACATTTCATATGAATGATAGTACTGATATCACAATAAATGATATATCTTCATTTTTTCTGATATTACATCTTTAGCAAATCCTCCAAATGTTTTATAATTTATAGTCTAGTAGAAATAATAATTCATACAATAGCATTTACTGATAAGAAGATATATGTGGGTATATATGTATATTTTATATAGTTTGGTTAATATATCGTTCACATATAATACATTTCAATTCATATATCTAAAATGTTTACAGCAATACTAAAGCAGTTAAGTAATCATTTTTTCAGAAAAAGGAATGGCCAATTTGATGGTAACTACGTCAAGTAAGAATAGTTCACGCAGTGCATCACCTAACAGAGGAAATACATTGACCTCACCTCAACCATTGTCATCTACCTTGGAACATATTTCAAAAGCACGTAATGCTTCACTGTAAGATTTGATTTTTTGTAGATGTTAACGTGTGTGCTTATATAGATTAAGATTAAAAATTCTTATTTTTTTGTAGTATTTTACATGAAACTGAAACATTAAGCTTATGCTTCAGTATGATATAATTAATGATACAATATTTTGTACTTACAAATAAGAAAAATAAGTTCCTAAAAAAAAATAAATAAATAAATGAAAAATAAATAAAAGGAGCACAGTACAAAATTAATTTGACTTCACAGTTCCCAAACAGGGGAGGGTAGTACAGGCAGTGGAAGTAGTGGTGGTGGAGGCAGCCTCAGCATGAAAGGTAGTAGGCAAAAATCACCAGGAACTGTGATTCGAGTAGATGCTATGGATGAACCAAATACCAATTTAATCACTGCCGAACAAGACGAGTTTGTGCCAAATATTCACTTACCAACTGATGATGAAGGAGTATGTACTTTGTTCTTTTAAAATAATTTTATTTTCAAAATGTTTAATATTTTTCAATTTATACATTTATATGTTTTCATTTTTGATTAACACATTCCCATCAATTATATATATATCAGTTTTGATAATTTATATTTCTAATAATGATATGTTATGATATTTAATATTATTAAAGTATTGAGATTAATGAAATTGATACTATTGTTTTTTTAAATGTTTATTACAGTAAATATGATTGTATATGCTTACATAAAATTACTTATGTAATGTGGCATCGTGGCATGTAATTTCACTGTGCTGCAAGGTCATCAACCATTACTGTATAATTAGGGTTATAGGTTAAGAAATTAAGTAGGTATTTATATAATATTTTAAGTGGTTTCAAAGCTAGAGAATCTTTGGAAATTCAAAGTGCAACTATACAAGTTATCGAACAGTAGACTTAGGGAAATGTGTTTTGTTAGTCCATAATTTACTTGTTCATAATTTACTTTTCAATCCTTGCAATTACTTATATGTCCATCAGGTTTGTATATTTTAATTATAAATTTATTTACAGGAACAATATCATGCAACACAATCGTTCCTATCAAATGGCTCCTCTGAATTAATAACTGATGATGTTGACTCTAACTCTGCTCGAGTTTGTCAAGCTATTGAGCACATTCAAAGTAAAATTGCTAAAACACGAGAACTTATAAGAATAGAACAAACTACACGTGATGGTAATTTTCCACAATTAACAGTTAATTAGTATAGTGCTGATATTTATCAAGTACTAGAGTGTTAAAATGATTGTCCGAATTATGATGAAATTTATATACAATAGCAATTTATGTCACAGTACGTATTATAACTAAAACATTAATTCATTTAATTTCTTTTCTTTTTACAGAAAATGTAAATGAATATCTAAAATTAGCTGCCAATGCAGACAAGCAGCAGCTTACACGAATCAAAGCAGTATTTGAAAAGAAAAATCAAAAATCAGCGCACAGTATTTCTCAGCTCCAAAAAAAATTGGATAGTTACACAAAAAAATTAAAACATTATGAGTTAAATGGTGCACCTACAAGTCACAGACAACCCAGAGAAGTGCTTCGGGATATGGGACAAGGACTTAAGTAAATAAATTTTATTTTGTATTAACTGTACTTTGCACAGTATTTTAATGGTAATAAATATGGTAATGTAAAGTATTATTATGATAATAATATAGTGATACAAAAAAGTTAAGAATATATATATACTTAAATCGTTATTAATAGGTGTAGACCTTTCTTTATTTTTGTTTTAAACGCTTATCGCAAAATGTATATATTTTACTAATAATTTTGATTAGTAGGTGTTATAAGATATATTATATAAATTATATACTGTATTTTATTAAAGAGTAATATCTCTATTATTGTTTTATATACCTATGTGCTTGTACTGAAAAAGTAGAAGTTTTTAATATAATAGAAAATTAATATATATTGTGTAAAAATTGAAATGTTACATTAAGATGCCAAACATGAAAAATTATTCCTTTAGTGTAATTTCTTTGTGTTCCATTTTTTTCTTTTTAATCTATCTTTTGTCCTAAATATAGAGTATGAGACTTTAATCTAATTTAAGATTCACTTCCAGAAACGTGGGTGGTAATATTAGGGTTGGAATCAGTGGTTTTTCAGGGTGAGTATTAGTGTAAAAATAGATTTTGTTAGTTTCTAAATCATCTCATTATTTATTGTTATAGTTTATTAATTTTGAAAAAATTAAATTTTAAAATACAATTACGTTTATGAAATGTAAGATTACTAATTTATTACTTATTATATCTTTCAGAAGTGTAATGTCCAAACCCAGAGAATTTGCACACTTAATAAAAAACAAATTTGGCAGTGCAGATAATATAAATACTTTATCTCGTGAGTAATTTTTATTACAATTGTTTTTTTAATAAATTAATATAATTTTATTCAGATCTAACTTATTTAATTTTTGAATAATATTCATTATCAGAGATGTTAATTAAGTCTTTGTGTTTAAAAAGCACTATCACTAAGCACATTTTGATTTATGCTAATAAATTTTGGTACTACAAGCAATAGTATGCACGTTTATTTTATTTAAAATATATATACAAATTGTATATGTAAATACACTATCAGAATATATAATCTAAAAATATAAGTTTTTTATTTATATATGTGAAAAATGATAGTACATATGCATAATAATTTATAACGTATAGTAGTCTAATGTATAGTTTTCCCATTTATTTCACACATTTAAGAATAAATAATATTTAATATTTTGCGCTATCATGGCAGTTGAAAGTAGTAAGTAACATTTGTGCAAATTTTTCTATTATATTCTTTTTTTATATTTTTATAAACATCCTGTTATTTAGAATATATTATATTTATATCTTACTTTGTAAAATCTTAATTTTTAACATTATAACCTTTTTTGTTGTATATGATAAGGAACATAAATTTTATATGTTTACACATTCCATTGATAGACAATTTTTATGTAAGAATGTTGTGTTTACATATTGTAAGCTTTATATTAATATTTTATTAACATTTCAAGTTTAATTATTTAATAATTTTGCCTTGTCTTTAGTGGCTTTTACAAATTCAAATGTTTGCTATTTTGCATATTAGTTATCCAATACATCAACAAGTTGTATGAAACGTACATATGAACATGAATTCAGAGAACAAAAGTTAATAAAGAAGACACAATTTTTACCTTAAGTTTACAAAACATGATACATTATTAATATACAACAAAAATGTTTTTGAATTGTCTTTAACTGTATTTAAAAGAGAGGAGTATCGCAACATGAAAAAATATATAAGCTGATTAGTTGTTATCAAAGGCAGAATAGTTTGGTATTGGATAACATTCTAACTTGCGACGTCTGTGTCCCTGCAGATGGCTCGACTTTTTATGTAAACGATACACCGCGTGCAGGTAATGGAGATAACGCTAGTGTTGAAGATGAAAAGGCTCATCATGGGTCAGCGACGTTGCCTGGCGGATGTAGTTTGGGATCAACTCATAGTGCCGCAGCAATGAAATTTCCATCCGAAGAAGGATCAGAATGTTCCAGTGTCACAAGTGAAAGCGGACCTGGTAGTAGGGGGCAAGCACACACATGTCACAGTAGTAATAATGCTGCACTTAGTCTCAAATCTATTTTCTCAGAACTACAAGAGCATAGAGAAAATTTGGAAAGAATGAAAGACAAATTAGAAGGTTTAAAGGTTTGTTTCTAATGATTTAAAGAATACATAAAACAGAGGAATACCAACATATTTGCATACGTTATAATTTTATACTCAATTTCTTCCTTAAACATTTTTAGAGCTTGCAACAAGAAGTGACATATCTTTCTCATGCTTTGCAAGAGGAACGTTTCAGATGCGAGCGTCTGGAAGAACAAATTAATGATTTAACTGAACTGCATCAAAACGAAGTAGAAAACTTGAAACAGACTATAACAGATATGGAAGAAAAAGTGCAATATCAAAGTGAAGATCGATTAAGGGATATACACGAAATGTTGGAGAGTTGCCAAACTAAAATTTGTAAAATGGAACATCAACAACAACAACATCAACAATACGTCACTTTAGAGGGTCTGGATAATAGCAATGCAAGGGCATTGGTTGTAAAGCTCATAAATGTAGTATTGACTGTGTTGCAAGTTATTTTACTTCTGGTTGCAACAGGTGCTGGTATAATGATGCCTTTCCTTAGAACCAGGTACACTTATTTCATATCGTAATATGTTTAACTTTAATTTTTACAGGAAAGATTTATTGATAGGGAAATTACAGGAAATTACAAAAAATTGATACATATGTATGAAATTAAATATTACATTTTACAGCTTAAATGTACAAGCTTTCTGAAGTAAATTTACTTCAAAATATATCATGTACTTATTTATTTTCTATTTATAACAAGCAGATAGTTATCATATAATAATAGTTCAGACGTTTTATCAATATATATACTTCTGTTGTATCATTCTTGTTTCATTTTTCATTCACATTCATCTCAAATCATACTTCATCACGTACGCCATCTGATTTTAATTTCGCACACTCATTATTTTATTTTGTTTTCACATCTCTGTTGCAGTTGTACTAAGCCTCATTGTTTCATGTGCAGGGTGCGCATATTAACAACTACGTTTGTTGTATTGGGCATAGTATTTGTGCTCAAACAATGGCCTGAGGTTCATGACGTCGGCAGTCACCTCATGCGCCACCTTAAACAGACGCTCGCCGTTAAGTAGCATCGTAAGTAAATTATTATTATCTTATCATTATTATCTTATCTCTTAGTAAAAAGTAAAAATTAGAAATACATTCGTTAAAAAATACGAAACAATATTAATTCTTAACGGACGTTTGTTGACACTAAGCACAAAATATAGATACCAACGTCCGATAAGTGTTAATAGCCTAGTTAATAGTCCTGTTAATAGCCTAATCTATTTCAAGTAAAAAGGTTTAATACTCTGTTTATTTGAAGTATAAAAAAATAACTTATTCTAGGGTGGTATACTTAAATTTACCATACCCTGTGATGAAGAAAAATTGTACACATTGATCAACATTTTGGACCTATTTATCAGTGCTGTAGTTTTGGAGCAATAATAGTAGGTATATGCGTAAATTGTTTCATTTATATTTTAAATTCGATCATATTCATCACTATTACATTAAATCAGATGAATGATCAAATCTGTTTGATACTATTAACGGAATTACAAAATTCAAAACATATTTTGCTGTGCAAAAATGTTTCACTTAGGAAAAAGAAATTTATTAGAAATGATAAAGATAAAAGTGTCTTTTGTCTCTTATGCAAATATTGTAAATTTATTTAGAATATTTTAATTTCTATTTATGTAAATTTGTTAAAAGAAAACAATATGCATTTGATAATTAATTGTGCGCGAATAAAAAAGAAAATTATAATTTATAATAAAATAAAAATTTCTATGAAAATTTAAAAGAGGCAGTAACTATAACGCTGTACACTGATATTGCTTGATTACATACGGCACATTGTTAGAAGAATTTACTCTAATGTCATGCGATTAAGTTCACTTTTACACGAATCATTGATTAATATGAAATTAAAAAAAAAAAAAATTATTGAAAGCGAAAGTACTGATTAAAAGGTAGAAAAGAAAAATTGTTCTATTATTTAGTGTCTGTGGGAGGTGTTATCACCATTTTCGGGATTATGGTTCGTACATTTGATATTCTAGTAACGTGTAAGTTTATCACAAATAAAATGTTTATAATTACAATCGTCCAATTGCTAAACAATAATATAAATTAAGACAGCAAAAGAACACTTAAATAACTGTAGATATTCTTCACTTCAAGATGTATAAAATATGTGATATATTCTTTAGTATTGACAATGAGGTGGAGTAATTTGATCGACTGTAGTGAAACCGTATCCTTATATGCAATTCACAAACTATGACATCACATTCATGAGAACACAAAAATTGAATACAGGCACTTGTGTAACATTCAATATCAAAAGAGGACCAACATGTTTCATTCCTCTTACTCTATAACGTTAATTTATTTCATATATACTACAATCTTTCAGAAATAAATGACATCAGCTGTGTTATCTGTAGTCTCATGAATGTTTCAAACCACCACAGACACAAGAATGCGTACATATTATATTGAATATAAAAAAGAAATGAACCATGACAGATGTTGAAATGAGAGAAAGACTGATGGACTACATCGCTGTTACAATTGTGAGTAATTTAATATTTGTGGCAGTTTTGCGTTGCTATTCATTGACGAAGTATTAAAACGGTAAAACGATTGAAAAGAAAAAGAAGAAATAGAAGAAGTGCAACGGTAATTACAATTATACGAACAAAAGATAATTCTTAAATTAACATAGGTGCTCAAATCCATGAGTCTACAAAATATTTTGGTCTGCGTAATTTTTTTAATTCTATTATCACTACTAATGGCGAAGTATCATTTATTTCACTATGTTCCAAACTTTCATCTCTTTGTAAGCACAGAATATCACGGGATGTCATAAAGTTTCACAGCCTAATACGATATTATTTTGTGAATATGTGGCAAGTAAAGAAAGAAATAATTTTCCGGTAATTATGATTTTTTTTTTTTTTTTTTTTTTACTGTTTAATACGTAAAATTCTCTTTATGTTTTATATAAATGCATAGCCTTTAATTTGTATTAAGTTCGTACATTAGAATTTTTGTTATTTGTATATATTGGATTATGTACTGTTATCGTTTCGTTGATCTTGATGAAGTTCAAGAAGAAGATCATTGTTTTAAACGACAAACAAAATCTGTAAATAAAATAAATTTACGTAGTAATATATTTCCTTTTTTTTTTCTCGAGCCTATTTTTCACGAATGCAATGTCAAATTTCCTAATTTTTTTTATTTAAAGCTATAGCTCTTTGAATTATCGTATTTTTCTTATTACGATCACTGCTTTTGTAATATTTGTTCAACACCATTTTTATAACTTTTATATATGTTCAATGCAAATACTGCCAAAAGAATTTAACACGAAAGACATGAAAAAATTGATAATTTACGAGAGATGCAAAAACGATGGTTGATCAAAATTTTATGTCCATATTTTTAAGAGATCGAAAAGGCAAGGAAGTTTGATTGTGTATTTGTAACTTCATCAGGCAAAATTTTGTATTTCAACGGGTCGCGTATATTTTATTTTATTCCCTCAGATTGACTTTCTTTACAATTGTGTTATATAAAAATTTGTTCAATTAAATTTATAATTATAATGATAACGTTTCCTTCGAATAATCCTCTTGCGTTCCTACAAATAGTCGTTTTTTATGTCTATAAATTTATCAATACGTCGCTGTGACTATACTAAGTTTATATATAAGCGTAAAAGTTAAAAATCAGTTTTGGGATCAATATAATTATATATACAAAATTATCATACGATTTGATGTCCGTACTAAACTCTCCAACACTTGCAAAAACGAAATGAAATAATTACAATAAAGATACATTATCGATGCATTAATTCTATTGAATTCAATGTTATATTGATTCTGCAAGAGAGATTTCTAATTTTACGTTGTTTAAATCAAATTTTCGACTAAAAGATATATGTTTATTAATTATGTAAGTGATAACTAGACAAAATATATAGGGTGTTAATGCGCTTATACATTACTGTAATTATTCTAATTATCACTGCTACGTAAACTTTCTTTCAAGATTACGTACATTTATTCATTGTTAATGATTATCAGTTATCAGTTATCTTTAAAATAAAATAAAAAGATTATATTTGTATGGAGATAGACAAATAATTGTGAAACGTAAAGTGCAAGAGTTGTACGTCCGATTTCCCAGTTGTAGTTTCTTATTATAGGAAAAGACACCCTATATGTATTGTATAGCGTTAGATCGTGGTGCTTTGTAAGATACACATGTAATCCAATATTAGAGAACTTATTAACATCATCGACCACTGATTTAGCGAGGGCCCCTACCTGCACGCTTAAACAAAAACATTTACATTTTACAGTAGCAATGTGTTGGACGTAGCAGAAAAAAAAAAAAGAAGCGATTTAACTAACGCAAAAACAGAAAAAGAAGAAAAAAGAAGTTGCAAATATGTATTTATATAAATCAGAAATTACACACATGTCAAACAACGATGGACGTATTTTGTATCTTACAATGTTACATTTTTCTATGAGTTTTTCTTTTTATCGTGGCTATTTACAATTTTATATGTATTTTGTATTGACAAAGCTTCACGGGAAAATGTAAAGAATATGCTTAAATAAGTTACGTAAAGAGTCAACGTAATCCTGGAATTTGATGAACGTTACTCACACTTCCCATAATTTTAGGGGCCCCTCCCCCATTATAGTTGTAGTATAGAGAGAGGAAACAAAGTAACGAAACAAATACATTGTCATCGATGCCTTGCATAGGTAGTTAATGTCAAATTATAGATTAAATATTTGTTGTCAATTGTAGGACGATGTAGAAAATAGGAACAGCGATTGTAATGGAAATTGTTAACACGCTAGACACATACACATGCGTATATATGTATATTATGCATACACACGAGTGTACGTATGTAATAACTGCATAACAGGTCAGTGTAATAACGTAGTTAAAGACAAAAATAAGTTTATGTCCATTTAAAGAAAAAGAAAACAAAAAAAAAAAAAAAAATGAATATACGCGCATAATGCCGTATTATGTTATTGCTGCTAAACGACAGTTTTCGAGCTCAGTATCAATTTAGCAGCTCTTGTCATTAACATTATTATTTAATACCGTTTCGAAATAAAAAGAATTTTTAATAAATATAATATCTTTTTCTATCATTTGGATCAACCTTTATTATTAATTAAATTCGTTAGATATTTGAAAGGACATAAATCATTTGTTACTTTAAACTATGTAATATATTTGGGGATAATTCTGAATCTGATTATAAAGTTATTTTGTCTGAGAGGATTTGTCAATAATATTACAATCATCACAATTTTACAAATAATGTAATCGTTTTATTATTATATATCACAATTTCTACTATGTATAGTGCTGAAAGCCGTTTTATTTTTTAAAAAAACCACAGAGACGCCATGGAAATATGCACTGTGTTGCAGGTGATTATATATAACTCTATATTTTTGTTAAATTTAAAAAATTATACTGTTAATTTTTTAAATTTAACAAAAACCACCATTTTATAGTATCTTCTCGCAGTAAAAGTAGCTATCAGCCATTAATTCGATAAATAATAATGTTTTGCTGATATTAATAAGAAAATATTTTATTTTCTTTATTTATGATAATCATATTTTATGTTATATAGCTAGTGGATGTTATGTCATTTTGTTCCTTTTTGTTTCGTGACATTTATAACAATTTATAATACACACAATATAAAGTATAAATTCTCATGTAATGATTAAAATGGATCATTTCTTCTAACATATTCCCATGTTTCTAAATAAATAACGTTTGTGTTATTTCAATGACGATATACGTTACATTTCTCAGAAATACGCTGAAAAATAAATTATTAATTGGCTCATTTCAATTTGTTTATAATCTTCATGAAAATAAACATAGATATTTGATTGAAATTCGAGAAATTTCTAAAAAATTATAATAATATCTTTATAATATATGTGATTGAAAAAAATATATTATCAAGTTAAAAATCAGATTCTATAATGCACATACGTAGAAGCTTGTAAATAAGCTTAGTGGTTTGATTAATAATAATTATTGATCTTCGAGTAGTTTTAGAGCAAAACAAATTGCAAATATAAAAGTAGACAATTTAAAAGCAACATACTTTGGTAAAATATCAATACCGATATAAAAAGAAAATGATAATGTAAATAATGATTTAATTTCTTCTTTACTTTTTATATGTATAAGTGACTTTAGAAAACATTGTTATCCCTTGCAAAGAATTCTCGAAAATATATTCTTTGTATATAATTTTAACATATATGCTACAGTAAAGGAATACATCGTGGTGACTAATGCCGCTTTTCATAAAATGCAGACTCGATATTTCATTTCCTATCATGCGTTGTTCGTATATACTTCGACGTCTCCCAACTTTTGATTGTAAGTTTCAATCTGCGGTTATTTGAATTCCTTCTTGGGAATCTCGAAGTACAATTTCTGCTGGTAATATATTTTTCACTTCATTTTGACGAGGAACTGGTTCATCTTTTTGCACCGGTGGTGCACTATGGTGCTTTTTTTTATGACACATCATGGTCGATCGCGATACAAATGTTTTGCCACATGCGTCACATTCATACGGTCGCTCTCCAGTATGTAATCGTTTGTGAATGGCCATAGGAGTAAACTGTGTGAATGTTTTACCGCATACGTCACACCTGTAAGGTCGTTCTCCGGTATGCAATCTTCTGTGACACCTTAACGCTGCCCTTCTGGCGAATACTTTACCACACATATCGCATTTAAAGCTTTTCTCTCCTGTATGCATTGTCGAGTGGATTTTAAGATCGACTCTTGTTAAAAATCCTTTACCACAAACTTCGCACAAATACGGCTTTTCACCCGTATGAATGCGTAAATGCGTGTTCAGATAACTTTTACTAACAAACATTTTATTGCATACTACACATGGATACTGACGATTATCCATGCCCGAGTGTATTTTCTGATGACTTTTACAAAGTCCTTTCGTTATAAAACCTCTACCGCAAATTTCGCAAACATACGGTTTGACTCCAAGATGTCTGTTTTGATGATCTAACAGTGACTGCTTTGTTTTGAAATGTTGTCCACAAGTGTTACATGGAAAAGGCTTCAGATCTGAATGCACTCTTTGGTGAAGGACAAGATAACTTTTAGATTGAAAACCTTTACCACACGTGGAGCAATTATAATCAAATTGTCCTGTATGCGTGGCTGTGTGTTGTGCAAGCCCGATTTTACTACGAAATGCTTTTTCACAAGTCACACATTGAAAAGGCTTTTCACCAGTGTGTTTCCGCATATGTTCTTGCAATTTGTAATTCGTCCTGTATTGTTTTCCACATTGAGTACAAACTTTTGGAGTCCATTTTTGCCTTACCGTTGTCTGTTTTTTTTCTTCTATATTTATATCATTTTGAGAAGACGCTAACTCAGGCTCTACAACTTCCTTTTCTTTGCTGATTGTTTTACTTTTATATACATCACATCTTTCTTTATGTACATTTAAGGCATTTACACTTGTAAAATATAAACCACAGGGACAGCAGCAGAAATATTGTTCGAAATGTGCTATCATATTATTTGAACCTAACGTCGCTTCGTTACAAAATGGACACACATACCAGTGTGAGCCTGTTTCATCTACTGTAGGATTATTCAATGTTGATTCTAATAACGCATGCTTGGCTCTTTTTGTATATTCTACTAAAATTTCTGAACTTCCAGTTGTTATTTGACTCGTTGACGCAATAGTATTTGTTTGAGAAGTTGTATGATTAGGAGTTTCTCTTTCAACAACACGTGTTTCTTCTATATCACTACCAGTTTCTGGCTGAGTAGGAGCGAAGCTCTCATGTGATACCTATAAATTAAAATCATTTATTGGACAAATTTACATTACCTACTTTTCATTTCTATTTGCATAACTTACATTATTTTCGAGTACATTTGTCGGATCTTCTGTAGGCAATCTATCTTGCAACCTGTGATATTCCTGTTTTATTGGTACTGATTCGTACTTTACATTGTCACAGTAATGTACAATTGATTCGCGATTTTGATCTTCAGGATTTATTGAAGTAACATAATTTATTCCTAATTGACTTAAATGACCGCTCACTGTTAAATTTCCAACTACAGTCATATCACCCTCCAAATGCATTGCTATTTGATGATTAGAAACCTGCAACAAAAATGTATGTATTTAGGTTACATTTAACGTGTCATTACATTAAGAAATACCTTAGAATGAAAGTATTATTGTAATAAATATAGTACAATTTATTTCAGCAAGCATATTAGGTTTATTTGTTCATTTACTTCTCGTATATGTTCATCCACCATTCTGGCTGTATCTCCATCTAAACAGTCAATACCAGTAACCTCAATATCAGTATCCTGTTGTCCCATTTCTTCTTGTGTAACAACTTGTTCACCAGTTGCCAAGTCTATTTCATCCATGACTTGCATGGTATGTATAGTAGGCTCTGCTGTTTCCTGAGTGGTTACATGATTTTGTACATTTTCCATGTCATTCTGTATTCTGTTAATATTTCTTTGAATTCTCTTCATTTCTTCTACTTCTTCCAAGTCCCTTTTCGATATGCGTACAATCTCTTGCTTGGCAATTTCCTTTAACATTTCCATGAACATTCCCTCAGTATGTAAACATTTCTCACGAAAATCAAATAACTGATCCAATTTGTAAGCACACTCCTCGCACACCACTTTTGGCAGTTGATCAGTCATAGACACCTAAAAATAATCAATTAACTGACAACACTGATACAATAAATATGTATACACATGTATATGTACATCCTTTTAATGAACATGCTGAATGCCATCACAATCTTCAGTCTTTTCAAAGCAATTGCATATGATTTGAGACTAATGCACGGCTTGTTCTTTGTCATAAGAAGATCGTGAAACCTTGCACTAATTTTCTTCCTCTATTTATAGTTAAATTAGAAAGAGGGGATGAAGACAGATCACTGAAGATTGCAGCGAAATTGCTCTTCTACCGTTTGTGCATGACTTTACCTGCACTGGCAAACATGCGGCTATTTTCTTGTCAATGTTGCGCATCTGATCGCCGGCTTCGAAAATTGGTAATCCCATGAGGATACCTGTTTTAGTTGCGCATAGTCGACATAAGTAATCAAATTCCTCGACGACGGCCATATCAACAGAACGAGGAAGATCGTCTCGTTGCCAGATTAAAACGGACTGCTTCGAAGGACCGGAACGATTTTTACTTTAAGAAACCCAATGGCCAAGGTCTTTTTACGTGATTTGAGAAACTTGTGCCGTACATTACGACATTTCTTAATTCGTCTCCTGCCGATCTTTAATTGAAAGTTTCTCTACTCTTTTACAGATATGCATTATCCGAGGATATTTGTCAAGTAAGTTTGCGTTCACACCATCAGAGACCCTCTTACAATCAGTCGTGGCATCCGTAGCGGGGGAATTAGCTTGCGCTGCTCTCTTTTCATCTAAAAAGAATATGTTTCGTAGGTGGCGCGCTGAACATTCTTTTGATCGACTGGCGAGCTATCGAATATCGAGAGATATTTGCAATTACATTTTTGAGCGATTCTTATTTCGATAATTTTTATTTGTAGGGATGTATGATGATAATTTGAGGACAAAAATCATTGGATTTAAAAATAATTAGAACCACATAGATATGTTAATTCGTTAGATCGTAGATAATTTTTTTTTAGTAGATAATTTCATTGTCGAAAAAAATTCTTCATTTAAAAAAGTAAGTTGTGTACTACGGTATTACATACTTGAAATGAAATTTCGTACACGTTTATTAACTTGTTGAAATTAAATTCTATCAAGTGTTTTAAATGAGGAAAGAAGAAAGAATATATTAAATGATTCTTTTTAATAATTTTATATTAAATATCTAAATATTTTGCAAAAAATAGTGTTCATATAATTAATATAATGATATAAAATCTATGTTTTTATTAAATTTTTATTTAGGCACAATAAGATAAAGTGATTAACACCATTTTTACCTTTTAGGTTATTAAAAATATACCTTTTAGGTAATTAAAAATATATATTAATTTTTGTATTGTTATAATGTGAGCTTGCGTTCATATACAAGCGTTTGTTCATCATGTCACTATATAAACGTGCTTTACTGAATTACTAATAAAAATGGCGACATCAGGTAAATCAGGAAACTTACAAAAGCGAAAATTAGTGACAGAACGAAATAATACAGATGAAGAAATGGCTAGTGAGTATTTTCAACTACATTTTGCATGACTTAATTATTATCTGCCTTGAATACTTGCTGATAAAATAACAAGTTTATTGTTTACATGCTTGAATTTTAAACTGCTGTTTATCTTATTTTAGTTAGCATGATTGAATAGTTAAATCTATAATTATTCTAAGTAAAAATGTATATTGTTTTGACATTTATAAATTTGATTTTAACTTAAGTAAATTTAATTGCCCAGAAATAATTTAGTTTTTCAAATGTATAGTTTCTAACCTAAAAGTTTTTCTTGATTACAGAGAAAGCTAAAATTGTTATAACAAATTCAGAACCTCCACGACTGTGTCCTTATTTAGATACTATAAATCGTCAATTTCTAGACTTTGATTTTGAGAAGCTATGTTCAGTATCGTTATCAAGAATTAATGTATATGCTTGTTTGGTATGTGGAAAATATTTCCAAGGTAGAGGTACAAACACTCACGCTTATACACACAGCGTAGCTGAAAGTCATCATGTTTTTTTGAATCTCCATACTTTAAAATTTTATTGTTTACCTGACAATTATGAAATAATTGGTAAGAAAATGTTTCTTTATTTTGTCTACCAAGAATCAGTGATGTTTCTTAATATATGATAATTATTACGCAGATTCATCATTGGATGACATAAAATATGTTTTAAATCCAACATTTGATAAAGCACAAATTGCGCAGTTAGATAAAAGTAATAAGTTATCGAGAGCCATAGATGGATCTTTATATTCACCTGGTATTGTGGGAATGAATAATATTAAAGCAAATGATTATTGTAATGTTATTTTACAAGTGAGTTATTTTGAAGTACGTTGATTCTTTTTAGTTCTCCTTTATAGTACAATTATAATAATTCAATATTTTAGGCACTTTCTCATGTTACGCCTTTAAGAGATTTCTTTTTGAGGGAATCTAATTATTCTCATGTCAAAAGGCCACCTGGAGATTCTTCTTATCTTTTAGTTCAACGATTTGGAGAATTAATGAGAAAATTATGGAATCCACGTAATTTCAAAGCACATGTCAGTCCACATGAAATGTTACAAGCTGTTGTTTTATGGAGTAAAAAGAGGTTCCAGTTTACTGAACAGGGTATAAAAAAATTGTATTGTAACAAATATTGTTATTTCTTATTAATAAATGTTATTTACAAACATAAAATTTTTAGGTGATCCAATTGACTTTCTTTCGTGGTTCTTAAATGCTCTTCATCTAGCATTAAATGGTACAAAAAAACGTGATTCTAGTATTGTATATAAAACATTTTTGGGTCACATGCGGATATATACACGAAAGATACCACCACTTGAGTTAGATGAAAGTCAGAGGAGCGAATTACTTCATACTGTAGAATATGGTGAAACTGTAACAGAAAGCCCATTTCTATATTTAACATGTGATTTGCCACCACCACCTCTTTTTAAAGATCAATTTACTGAGAATATTATCCCTCAAGTAAGTATTAAACATAAGCTTTGATCATCGCATAAGATATATGTTTTTTTTAATTTGTTTATACAGGTTAATTTATATACATTATTAAATAAATTTAATGCCGTAACTGAAAAAGAATACAAAACTTATAAGGAAAATTTTATGAAGAGATTTGAGATAACAGAACTTCCTCCATATCTTATACTTTATATAAAAGTAAGTATACAACAGTGTACTGAAAAATTCATTAAAAATAATTAGGTAGGCACATTTTTTATTTCTTTTGTTTTACAGAGATTTACAAAGAACACATTTTTTGTAGAAAAAAATCCCACCATAGTTAATTTCCCAGTTAAGTAAGTAATATTTTACAATATTATTTTATTAATGAATAATGTGAATAATAAATTTGAAAGTATATACTGCTTTCAGAAATGTTGATTTTGGGGATATTTTAACACCTGAAGTGAAACAAAAACATCCATTTACAACATACGATCTAGTAGCAAATATAGTTCATGATGGTGAACCTGGTCAAGGAACATACAGAGTCCACATTTTACATAGAGCAACTGGTCAATGGTATGAGTTGCAAGATTTACATGTAACCCAGATTTTACCTCAAATGATAACATTGACCGAAGCATACATTCAAGTATGTATTACTAACAAATATTAGTTTGAATAATATTAAATAATAAAATCTTTCCTAATCTTTCTTTAATCTTTTCAATCTTTTTTCTAGATCTACGAACTAAAAAAGGATATATGTACAGAAAATGGTGATAATAAAAGCAAAAGAATTATGTGATAGATACAATTTTATAAATAAAATATTTCAATTTTTCACTTTCCCATATCTTTTGTTTCATACTAACCCCAATAAATAAAAAATAACAGATTCACTATACAATCTACTTTTGTACATAAAAATCGCTACATAAATTATCATAGATATTTTGTAAATTTATTCAATTTTCTGCAATGATAATTCTACTAATTTAAGGTAGCGAGATAAAATGAGAAACGTAAAACCGAATTTAATAGAGAGAGAAATTCTGAACGCTAACCCTTCTTACGTGTTTGACCCTGTGGCCCGCCGATCGCGTCGAAAATTGCCGAACTTTACCGAGAAGATCGGAAGCACAAACTGGAAGTAGTAGCGGCGACAGTTGGTGGGGGAATCGCGCGTGGTGGGGATCGCAGTGTCGCGCCGAAGCCGAAGCGAACCGGAGTAGAGCTACAGCCGGCTACGCGAAATGATCATGAGCGAACGTTTTCTGCAATTCGCGGTTTTTCCATCTCTTTTTTTCTGTCGCGAGTTGTCTTTCTTTTTTCGCAGTGCACCGGGATAAACGTGTTTCGCGTATCGTTTCGCAAACGCGCTAGTGATACTGACGTTTCTCTCTCCCTGGTCGTATAATTCATTCAGCCGCGAGTGGTTTTCTCTGAGTGTGTACATACGTTGTGTTGTCTAGTGTGTTCTCAGCACGTGGATTACTGTTGTTGGGAGCGACGATCACTTGGTGAGTCCCTCGTTTCGATAATTTCCTTTCGAAAAAGTTCAAAGTTCCATGCGCATGAGCTACGAGATACGTAAGTTTACAAATGTTCACGAAAAGTATAATCACTGGCATTAAGAACTATTTCGAATACTCTTGCGGCGATAATGGTTCCGTAGTATTTTCTGTGACCGGCATTTGAGAATCTCTATCCTCTTCAAAGCGTTCCCGCGTAAGGCTATAATTACAATGGCCACGTATTCGAATTAGCGTTTTGATTGGCATGTAACATCTGCAAATCGAAATACATTCGTAAGAATTTCCTATAAGCAGACCAAAAACTATTTGTACATACTTTTATTCGCCGATGAATCTTTTCATTCTTTTATTACAGTCTACGCGTCATTTTCGTAGTCACGTGACACGAAGTTTAACACATTTGAATCTAATCTTAATTACTATGATTTTGACATATTGACTATTGCATTCATCCATTTCATCATTAACACGCGTGTCAGTACCAAAATTCGGTGCGGCGAAGCTCGAGAGCCACGTTTCAATGCTAATTTTTCTCGTTGCTTGGGTTATTCTTGTACATGCACATGGTCCACCGTGATTCCGATTTATGTTGGCGTCTTGGCGGTACGCGCTGCTTTCCAGTAACCGCTCCGAATACCTGTTCCATGCGAACCTCAAAAAAATTGTCTGATTGCGTGGCCTCATCCGCGGCGGAGCAGCGAGTTTGAACGTTCCTCGGTTAAAAAGTGGGGAGGTACGTTGACTCTCGAAGAAGCTGCGAGTTTCGGATTCCTAGCATCTCGCTTGTCGGTAATCGTTGCATCGTGTAAACCAGTTTCTGCGTGCGAGAGGATGACATATCAAAGGCACGTCGCGCACTTTGCTACACTGCCATTTTTTTTTTTTTTTTTTTTTTTTTTTTTTTTTTTTTTTTTTTTTT